GCTCTGGAATTCCGCATGGAATCGACCATGTCCGGGTAGTACAGAGAGACGAGCCTCCTTCTGGCTCTCTGGCTAGAGAGGAACGACCATATCTCATCTCTACACTCCGGGTACACTTCATTTCCGGCCTTTGGGCGAAACGCGTGGAGACAATGGCACGGGAAGAGCTACGATCGAAACTGCGTCAGAGCAAGTGGTATACAGATGAGCCGGTTGCCGAGAGAATCATCTTCGATCTCGACATCAGCCGGTCGATATACACGCACATCAGTCTCAGTTTTGTTCAACCCCCCTCGCCTGTTAGTGTGCAGCCTAGTTGTTGTCGTTCTTCGTGGAAGTGAAGGACGCGTCGTGGGGACTTGCTTGGCCATGAATGATGACACAGTGGTAGAAGAAGGGCTCGACCTGCTTTCAGACGGGTGGACGAGAGACAAGGGGCGAGGGGGGTCAGCACCTGCTGCGCTCATCGGCTCAAGGCCGTTTACATTCTAATGAGCGAGCCTACCTCGGCTGCCGAGAGCTTGCTCTGGAATTCCGCATGCCGCATGGAATCGACCATGTCCGGGTAGTACAGAGAGACGAGCCTCCTTCTGGCTCTCTGGCTAGAGAGGAACGAACATATCTCATCTCTACACTCCGGGTACACTTCATTTCCGGCCTTTGGGCGAAACGCGTGGAGACAATGGCACGGGAAGAGCTACGATCGAAACTGCGTCAGAGCGAGTGGTATACAGATGAGCCGGTTGCCGAGAGAATCATCTTCGATCTCGACATCGGCCGGTCGATCTACACGCACATCAGTCTCAGTTTTGTTCAACCCCCCTCGCCTGTTAGTGTGCAGCCTAGTTGTTGTCGTTCTTCGTGGAAGTGAAGGACGCGTCGTGGGGACTTGCTTGGCCATGAATGATGACACAGTGGTAGAAGAAGGGCTCGACCTGCTTTCAGACGGGTGGACGAGAGACAAGGGGCGAGAGGGGTCAGCACCTGCTGCGCTCATCGGCTCAAGGCCGTTTACATTCTAATGAGCGAGCCTACCTCGGCTGCCGAGAGCTTGCTCTGGAATTCCGCATGCCGCATGGAATCGACCATGTCCGGGTAGTACAGAGAGACGAGCCTCCTTCTGGCTCTCTGGCTAAAGAGGAACGACCATATCTCATCTCTACACTCCGGGTACACTTCATTTCCGGCCTTTGGGCGAAACGCGTGGAGACAATGGCACGGGAAGAGCTACGATCGAAACTGCGTCAGAGCAAGTGGTATACAGATGAGCCGGTTGCCGAGAGAATCATCTTCGATCTCGACGTCAGCCGGTCGATCTACACGCACATCAGTCTCAGTTTTGTTCAACCCCCCTCGCCTGTTAGTGTGCAGCCTAGTTGTTATCGTTCTTCGTGGAAGTGAAGGACGCGTCGTGGGGACTTGCTTGGCCATGAATGATGACACGGTGGTAGAAGAAGGGCTCGACCTGCTTTCAGACGGGTGGACGAGAGACAAGGGGCGAGGGGGGTCAGCACCTGCTGCGCTCATCGGCTCAAGGCCGTTTACATTCTAATGAGCGAGCCTACCTCGGCTGCCGAGAGCTTGCTCTGGAATTCCGCATGCCGCATGGAATCGACCATGTCCGGGTAGTACAGAGAGACGAGCCTCCTTCTGGCTCTCTGGCTAGAGAGGAACGACCATATCTCATCTCTACGCCCCAGTTACACTTCATTTCCGGCCTTTAGGCGAGACACGTGGAGACAATGGCACGGGAAGAGCTACGATCGAAACTGCGTCAGCGCGAGTGGTATACAGATGAGCCGGTTGCCGAGAGAATCATCTTCGATCTCGACATCAGCCGGTCGATCTACACGCACATCAGTCTCAGTTTTGTTCAACCCCCCTCGCCTGTTAGTGGGCAGCCTAGTTGTTGTCGTTCTTCGTGGAAGTGAAGGACGCGTCGTGGGGACTTGCTTGGCCATGAATGATGACACAGTGGTAGAAGAAGGGCTCGACCTGCTTTCAGACGGGTGGACGAGAGACAAGGGGCGAGGGGGGTCAGCACCTGCTGCGCTCATCGGCTCAAGGCCGTTTACATTCTAATGAGCGAGCCTACCTCGGCTGCCGAGAGCTTGCTCTGGAATTCCGCATGCCGCATGGAATCGACCATGTCCGGGTAGTACAGAGAGACGAGCCTCCTTCTGGCTCTCTGGCTAGAGAGGAACGACCATATCTCATCTCTACACTCCGGGTACACTTCATTTCCGGCCTTTGGGCGAAACGCGTGGAGACAATGGCACGGGAAGAGCTACGATCGAAACTGCGTCAGAGCAAAGTGGTATACAGATGAGCCGGTTGCCGAGAGAATCATCTTCGATCTCGACATCAGCCGGTCGATCTACACGCACATCAGTCTCAGTTTTGTTCAACCCCCCTCGCCTGTTAGTGTGCAGCCTAGTTGTTGTCGTTCTTCGTGGAAGTGAAGGACGCGTCGTGGGGACTTGCTTGGCCATGAATGATGACACGGTGGTAGAAGAAGGGCTCGACCTGCTTTCAGACGGGTGGACGAGAGACAAGGGGCGAGGGGGGTCAGCACCTGCTGCGCTCATCAGCTCAAGGCCGTTTACATTCTAATGAGCGAGCCTACCTCGGCTGCCGAGAGCTTGCTCTGGAATTCCGCATGCCGCATGGAATCGACCATGTCCGGGTAGTACAGAGAGACGAGCCTCCTTCTGGCTCTCTGGCTAGAGAGGAACGAACATATCTCATCTCTACACTCCGGGTACACTTCATTTCCGGCCTTTGGGCGAAACGCGTGGAGACAATGGCACGGGAAGAGCTACGATCGAAACTGCGTCAGAGCAAGTGGTATACAGATGAGCCGGTTGCCGAGAGAATCATCTTCGATCTCGACATCAGCCGGTCGATATACACGCACATCAGTCTCAGTTTTGTTC